TACAAACGAACAACACCAATATCAAAGTTCAAGCATGCTGCCTGGCTCAACCGAACTAAAATGAAAATCTACGAAAATTAACAGTTTTTGCATATTGTTGATTATACCACTTCTTGAGCACACGGCCACGTATCTCAAACAGAAATGAAAGTCCAACAAACTTAACATGATATCAGAGGTCGAACACAAACTGACTCAAGCCAACCCAAAAAAGTCCCATGATACTTAACGAATTTTGTTTATTGTCGAAATCACTGACCAAATAATCGGATTATCTATCAAAATATAATAATAATAAATAAAGCTGGTAAAGTGCAAAAGGTTACTATTACATAGATTTTCAACATGTATTTCACCAAGATTAATCATTTTCTAATTAGTTTCTCAACATCAACCAAGAAATACTCAAAAGTGACTCATGAATACTGAGAAATGAGAACTGTATGATCATGAATTTGAGGATACTATTACCTTCTTGTTCTTTGTGATCACTCCAAAAAGAAAAGACAAGACGCCTAAGGTAGACACGATCAACGACATCTGTTTCATACTAAGCGATATCGTTCAACCCTACCCAATTGCACAAAAATCAGATCCTATAAAAAGCCAGAGAACAAATATTTTTCCTGGTACGCGTTCGGTGAATAAGGAGAGTAGAGTAAAAACACTCACCGATACGAAGAATCTATGAAACAAATTTGAGATCTAAAATGCTTGACAAAAACAAAAAGTTTACGGTGCACAGACGAATTTGAGGATATAGTTTGATGTAACAGAGAGGATGGAGGACTGTGAATTTGGGTTAAACATTTATTTTGATTTTGTTGGCCTTTAAATTGAGATTTTTCCCTTATTGACTTTTTAAAAATTAAATCCAACAAGATAATTTCTGTATATTGTTTTTCCTTTTCAATAAAATCATATTGGCAAAAAATATAATAATACATTTTTATAAAATTTGGAACTACAACTAATACTTTTCCAGTTTTTATCTATTTCAAAAATCGTTTTACTTCACAAATAAATACCAAACATTTTTAAAAATGTTCGGTTAGAATT